CCCCCATGCATGCATGCATGCATGCGTGCGTGCGTGTGTGTGCGCGCACGCACGCGCACATATCCCGCACACGCACATATCCCGCACATGCACATATCCCGCACACGCACATATCCCGCACACGCACATATCCCGCACACACACATATCCCGCACAGTTGGCAGCTATTGTGTATCAGCAGAAGCAGCAGCAGCAGCAGCACGAATGTGTAGTCCTGTTCAGCTCCCTAGCACACATAGCAATGATTGATAGTAATGAACCCTGAATGAAGCTAAACATCCCTCCATGCCCTATGGCATAAACATGCCGGTTACCGACCGTTTGGGGCCCATTAACCCAACCGGCCGGTTGAATGGCATTAACGGCCCGGTTGGGTTAACGGTCGGTTGGGTTAACGGTCGGTTGGGTTAACGGCCGGTTGGGTTAACGGCCGGTTGGGTTAACGGCCGGTTGGGTTAACGGCCGGTTGGGTTAATGATCAGTTGGGTTAACGGTCGGTTAATTGGATTAATGGTCAGGTGGGTTAATGGTCAGGTATTCATCCTACCTAGCACCCTGCCTGCATGCCTACACACCTGGGACAGTACTGTTATCACTGCCTCCCACATCATCTTGGCACCATGCCATTAAGCATATTCATATATGATTCAGGTATATACCTAAAATACCTAAATTTATCCTTGTCCATGTGTGCACACCACTGTCACCCGTGTCACCTGGCATTCCTTGACTGCACAAGGCCATCACACCTGTCACCTGTAATCTGCATAAACCTTCCTGCACAAGGCTGTCACCCCTGTCACCCGGCATTCACAACAATGTTTGTGTCATCAACGTCAGCGTCACCACCCGGCATTCACAACAATGTTTGTGTCACCAATGCCACCAATGTCAAGCAGCATTCACACAAGCCTGCACGCTTTGTTGTCACGCAGCATTCACACATGTGTACCCAATTTGTCAGATCTGTCACCTGGCATCCACACAAGCCTGCGCGCAATGTTGTCACCCCTGTCACCCACCATCCACAACAGCCATCACGCAATGTCACCCCTCTCACTCGGCCTTTCAATGTTGTTGTTGTTGTTACATGGTCGTGGGTGCGTTCCCCGTACCTGCAAACCACCCTAGTACGAGCCGAGGGCTCAAGGGCTGCCAAATCGCCTATAAGCACCATCCTACCTCGCACTTCCAACGAAACAAGTAATGAAGTATACTAACGACCAAAGGGAACGATAGAGTTGCGGTGAGACCATATACGTTCCAGCATTCTTGCCAGGCGTCCAGGTTCCCACTTCATAGCGTCCTTCATATGTTCGAAGCGTGGAAAGCCCATATCAGATCTGATTCCGTCGTAAACCGGACAGTCCAGCAAAATGTGTTTCTCATCCTCGATGTGGCTATCAGTGCCGCAGCAGGGGCATACTCGCTCCTCCCTAGGTATATAACGCCGTCCCTTACGCGCTCTGTTAGCCGCCAGTGCCCAACAGCAAAGCCTAAACTGCATAAGCTTGCAATTCGCCGAACGTGGGATAAACATTGTGATGTGCGGGAGCACCTCCTTCCTGCCCGCTTGCTCGGCCGCCAGCCCCATCCAATGCTTATACTTCGCCATGTGAA